AGCAACATCAAAACTTGTTGACAGGGAGTTAGGTGGTCCACTTCCCCGTAAGAATCCCAAGTATATTGAAAAGTCAAATAGAATTCGTCAGCTGTTCAGCAAATTTCATTTGCGCTACCCCCGTTCTTATATTGAGAGCATTGCGTACAGTACACCAGACTCTGTAGTTATGAAGAAAGATCAAAAAGCTGCAAAAAAAGCAGCTGCTCCTGATAATCATTGAAATTTTCGGCTTTTTTTTTTCTTTTTTTTACTGCACTGAACCATACCTCAGATTGTTTGTTATTACCGTATCAATTTTTAGTTTTCATTTTGTTATTTCATGAATTTGTTGGAAATAAAATTGTTATTCAACTTCGCAGCTGTTTTCTTCTTTCCACGCAAAGGATAGGTCAAAAGCTTGGCGCGCGAGATAGGGATTAAGTCCATGGGTCAGATGCTGGTCTTGGAAAAACGAGAGGATTAATAAGCTCATTAAGAAGGATTTTGGAGGATAGGTTGAATTCACGTAGGTCGGATGCTTGTCACCCCTTTGTTCTGTGCATGTTCATGGATTAACTGTCATGCGTGTAGAATGGAGCGCATTTGTGACGAATTTTTCCCGGAGAAATGTTCCGGAGTTTTTTTAAGGCAGAGAGAAGCTATTATTGTAGGGAATTTTTTTTTTTTTACCTCGACGTGTGGTGGGTTTAAATAATTTGATAATACCTGGCTTGTATTCCAATTTCAGGGTTCGATCGGGAAAGCCTTCGGGATGCTGGGCAGCAAGTGTGAAGAGTTGAATTCCCCTCCGGGTTCAGGGTTGCGGGCCGAGTCAGGCGTGGACTCCGAGCTCGGCGATTACGTTCCCAATGACGACAGTCTGTGTTCATCGCCATCCGAGCCCGGCTCGAATAAGCCGCTGCCCGATGGCATCCGCGGACCCAAGTACCACCTGAATGGTCCTAGGGACAGTCGGGGGCACCACCCACCCAGGCACCACAGCCTCAAGTCCACGAGCGAAACGGACTCAGATAGCATGCTCACCATCACCCCGGTCTGATTGCGAGGCTGTCTGGGAATAAAGCCCCCCCCCCCCACCCCCTTTTTTTTTTTTTTTTTTTTTTTTTCTTCTT